CCCCCCCTCCCCCCCCACACGCCCATAACCTCAATATCGAAAACGTGATCTAACCATCTGAGACGTTTTGTTGCTAGTTTTTGTAGTTCTGGTTCTGCTGATTTCTGGACTCCAGTCAGACTGACATCCTTAAAAATTATAATACTGAGGACGATGCGCACTTGCCCCCCCCCCCATTTCCTTTTTTTAAAGAAGCGAATTGCTGCATCTGCAAGAAATACTAGCTGCTAAATCAGTCTGCATCCTGTGTGTCTGCAAGCAGAATAAAATAAGTATTTCAGGAGAATGTTTACTGACTCTCAGAAAGGGAAAAAAAAATCTAGCCACGTAATTCATCTTCCTGAGAATCGTCTCCCTTTGCCGAATTCGCCCACGGATGAGGAGCGGCCCCTGGAAAAAATGTGTGCGCTTGGCCAACGCGGCTGGCCTGGGTGGACCTCCGGCTCCCACAGTCAGCTCTAAGGTGGAAGCTCAGAGATATTCCTCCAAGATGTTTCATGCACATTAAGGTCAAAACCCCTCCAGTCGATCGCAGCGACTGTTTATTCTAAGTGTCGGCATTATGTACAAGATTCATTGTTTGTGTGTCAGGTATTAAATGTTTCAATCACTATTATTTACACTCGCGAAATAAAACTCTCCAGACGAAAATACCGCGACTATCCGAGGCGCATGTTTCTCATTACACGCAGACTCATTTTCCCTTGAATTCCCTTTCATTTCCTTCCTGGTTACAATATAACTCCGGGGCCTCGATTATCCGAACCGCGCATTAAAACGCCTCAGCATTTCGCAAGGGGCCGTGCGTTTCACGAGCCCGGGCCGTAATTTCACCGCAGCATGATTTTGGCAGCAGCGTTTACTTTCCACAGAAAGAACGAGAAGAAAAGCATTCTTGGCCCCGGCGATAGGAAAGACCTCGATCTGAGGAACGGCTGTAAAGGCCAGAGCCTACAGAGTAGTTCTGTAATGTGAGGCAGGTAACTCACGCTTACGCAGAGCAGCCCACCTGCTCCATAAAAACCCATCAAACAGTCTAATAAAGTAAACTCCACCACCGATAAAAGCTCTTTTGCCCCCCCCCCCCCGGATATTCCATCCATCCCGTTTCCATAAGAGCCCCATAAGCCACACTAATCCAGAGCAGGGTCAAGGAGCGGCAGAAGCCATAGATCTTAAAACCGGGCTGCGTCGGGAAAATCCATACTCTGGTGAACGACTTTGAGCGGATGCTTATGTCGCAGCCAGAGACACCACCGGGTCCTTTAAGGCTGCCCGTTGTGCTGCCCGAATGCTACTTCCTTACACAGGTGACGGCGGCTTCAGGGTCTCAAGGACGGATTCAGTACACAGTCCCCCGCCCCAGCTCATGGGGGAGCGGAGGTAAACAATGCCAACAATCCCACTGCTGGGCCCAAGCACAAAAAAGGAAAAGCCTTTTAATTATTTACTGCAGTGCCTTTGGGTGTGTGTGAGGTAGCAGGCAGAGCGGAAGGCACCCTATTGCAAGCCGGCTGGCATTATCCCCGTCCCTCCATCCATCTTACAACCACTTATCTTAGTCAGGGTGACCTGAAGTCCATCCCAGGGGGTACAGGGAGCAGCGCTGAGGCACGACCCAGATGGGATGCCAAGCTGTTGCCGGCCGACCGCAGTCAAACGCTAGAGGCGATTTAGAGGCGTCGATTAGCCTTTGAAATCCCAGGAGACGCGGGGAGAAAATGCAAACTCTACACTCCGAGCGGATATGAGATTCTAAGACCCATGAGGCGGCAGTGTTTCCACCGGGGGTTCAATGCAGATGTGAAGAATGGGCTTTATTACATGATGACTCACACGTTTATCAGATAAAGGACGGTTACGCCGGGGGAGGGGGCACCGCCTCAATATGTCATTAGCTGTATGTGATACTGTTGTAGCTGACAATACACCGCCCTTATCTAGGAGAATGGAGATTCCTAGCTGTGGGGCATTGAACAGCATGCAATCGCGTTGACACATATGTTCAGTCTGAACAAGTGTGAATATAACGATTTTCATTGGTTCCGGCCATTGAGCCGACAAAGTATTTGTAGGTGATGCTGTAAGACGCGGCTGCTAAGACGGTCATTTCTGGCGGTTTAGGCCAGGAGCCGGAGCCACTGCTTCGGAAGGGGAGCGAAGGGAGTGAAGCAGTGACGCGGAGCCGCCTCAATGGGCCGTGTTTCCGTCAGTTACGGCTAGCGAACCGCCCACTCTGACGGGGGGCAGCATCAGCAAGGCGTGACGCACCTCGGTGGAGCTGCGGGGGTGGGCGACGTGCTGCCCGTGCTGTGCAGAACAGAACCGGGGGGAGGGGGCGGTCACATTAATGTCGCATGAGGATGGTGAGGTTTTATAGAGGCTTTTGACATCAAAGGAACGTCCAGAATGACATCCAGCCTCATGTTGAGACAACTCGACTGCTTATTTAACGGTGTGCTAAGAAATTGGAGGACAAGTGACAGTCCCCAAGGATGGTGAGTTTACACCACAAAATGCAAGTAAAAATGATCCTGAGATATGAAGATTTATTGCAAGCTAACCTCAGCATGTCCACTAAGTTTTAATGGACGCGGCATGGAAGGAGTCGCCAAAAGTCATCAGCTCTGCGACGCCGTTAGACAGGAAGATGGTGACGAGAACTGAAAGATGGCCGCTCGTTATAAGACATAAATGTGCATTAAGAAATTATAAGTACGGTGGCTTTGTTATTTCCGTCAGATTCACTGATCTGCAAGTTCAGGAGCGCCATCGTGTTCATGCAGCATATATAATGACTCATAATTATCGATGGGAGTGTGCCTTGGAATGGAACATAGCAATAGAGATTGAATGAAACTGATTCATCATCTGTAATGAGCGTCTGAAGCCAGCCCTGGGGATAACGTTCCAGATCCTGGGGCCTTTGATACTGAGAAGGACTGTTTCTCAAATTATAGATATTGCATTGGCTTATTAGACTTTAGACTTGGGAATTTTCAGTCATGAGCTTTGAATAAATGGTCAGGACTGAATTGATCCCACCTGAAAAAGCGTTGCTAAATACCTTAAGTTGGTGGGGGTTAATCCTGGGGTGGGGCTAGGTGAGACGAGGGGCGTGGCCATTCACCTCACCTGTGACTTATTACCAATCATGACCAAGACCGTAACGCTTTCCACAAACCAGCGTCAGTTCTGTTTTCCTTGCCGTTTCTCCATGTTATGGAAGCAGATATGGCTTATGTTCGTTCTCACCCACTGTTTATGCTAAATTCACCACAGCCTCTTAAAATCCCTAATCCTCCCTACCATCCTAGTCACATGGTCCTGCCATCCCACCAATGACAAGTAACATGAAAGAAATTCCACCCACCCATCTTACAATCAGTTTTTTACTGAACTTTCAGCTGTACTTTTCTGTCTTTTGTCTATGTCTC